AACCTGGGAATCAGTGGTTTTTTGATGGTGCTTTGTGGAAATGATTTATTTCCAGCAAGCGTTCCGTTCCGCTAAAAGACTAATCGCTTCTGATAGGCAATATGCATTAGTTACTTCGCTCTCCCACTTATACTTTTCAAGCAGATTGATTGCCCAGAAACGCAAGAAATGCTGCACATTGTTTTCCGGATTTCTGTGCATATTCATTCACAGTAGTCCTTGGTTTCAAATTTTTAGACAAAGCACTTTATTTTCTTGAATTATCGCGATTAGTGGAACTTGGAAAAAAATTTTACCTCATCGCTTTCAAGTCAAAAAATCCGCCAGCTCTGCCTTTTGTTTTTGGTTTATTGATGAACATACGTTTCTAGCTTCCAGTGGAGGACTTGCAATTCTTATCTTAATATTTCTTAATATTTCAGCGAGCTGCTCTGATGAAGATTCACATAGCCTTGAATAAAATTTGTATCTGTCCTACGGATAGCTTTCGTCATCCTTGACTTAGTTTTCTAGATTTTCTCTGGCATGGAGCTTGTGATAGACTGTTTCTTAGACATCTACATTGAAAATGGGTGTTTTTATGACTGAAATTTTCGAAAAAATCCGCCTTTATTGGAAATCAAAATGAAATACGAACAATTTGAGAAATACAATATCTTCCCTCATTCAGCACATTCCTGGCACCTCATATCGTCTTGTAAGACACCGTAATTATGACTTAGATTGGATGATACTGTTCTATTAGCGCTGGAATGTACTACTCGAGAAGCATCGATGTGTGCATGCGTCTATGCATATGTGTGTATGTGTGTTCGTGAGTGTATGTGTATGCATGCGTGTGTGTGTATGCACTTGTATTTATTTGTGTGTATGTAGTTCGAGAGCACAGTTCAGGATATATTTTTTCTTGAGTAAGCTCGGACTATCAGCAGTTCGTTCGGCCATTTATTTTCCGCCGCCGCTGCCGCCTCTTTTTGCACTTTTTGTGCAATTTTTTGGCATTTTTACACTTGCAAGCAAATGGACCAATAGGTTGTGTGATATATGAGGTGCTCCTCGCTTTTCTTTTTTACAGTACGCTTTGATGAGCTTGATAAATCAGCCTCACACAGAAGCAAAGCCACTGACAAAAGCGGAGAGAGGGGAGGAAATGTTTTAACGTCAGCACTTCCATTAATTTTTTTTTTTGCGGATTCTCTCTGAATCCCGAATTTGCTGGAAATAGCTGCTGCTGTTTGCCTGTGTTGCGCTTTCGTCGAAAATTGCTGTTCCTTTGTTGTTTTCGCAAGAGGCAAAAAAAAGTTGCTAAGCGGTATTTTTTTTCACATGCAATACATTTGCAGTTAATTTCGACCATATTGATTGCAGGCTGCTAGCGCACGAATACGGTAGTCACAGGAAGTTAAGAAAGAACAACTTGTGTATTGGTGCAATCCTAGGATGTCTTCTTTCCTGCCTTCACATCCATCCCTAAACAAAAGACTAAAATATCCCTCATCTCTTTGTGACTCTTTTTTTCACCTCCATATACGATAATAAATTGGTGGGAGGAGGGACAAGCAACGAGGCGCTCCAATCAATAGTACTGTCCAGAGCCTACATTTTCAACGGGATGTCTAAGAAATATGGTAAATATCTGTGGAGATATTCAGACTCAAAA